TGCTGCATCTCCATTGTTTCACTATGCTGCATCTCTATTGTTTCAGCTATGCTGCATCTCCATTGTTTCACTATGCTGCATCTCTATTGTTTCACTATGCTGCATCTCCATTGTTTTTACTGTGTGGCATCTCCATTGCTACAATATGTAGCATGCCCATTGATTTACTATGCTGCTCCCCCATTGCTACACTATAATGCTTCCCTATAGCTTCACTAAGCAACATCTCCATTGCACTATGCGATATCCCATCACTGCATCATGCGGCATCACCATTGCTTCACTAAGCAGCATCCCTATTACTTCATTATGCAGCATCCAAATTGCTGCACCATGAAGCAACCCCATTGCTACACTATGCGGCATCCCCATGGCTACAGTATGCTGCATCCCTATTACTTCACTAAACAGCATCTCCATAGCTTAACTATGCGGTATCCCATTGTTTCATTAAGCAGCATCCCCATTGCTTCACTATGCGGGATCCATATTGCTTCACTATGCAGCGTCCCCATTGCTACACTATGTGACATCACTATTGTGGCATCTTTATTACTTCACTAAGAGGCATCCTCATTGAATCATTATGCAGCATTCCCTTTGCTGCACCACGAAGCATTCCCACTGCTACACTGTGCTACATCGCAATTGCTACACTATACGGCATTCCGATTGATGCACAATACTGTATCCCATTGCTACACTATGCATGATCCCCATTGCTACACTATGTGGCATCCCCATTGTTGAAACATGAAGCATCTCCATTGTTGAAACACGAAGCATCTCCATTGTTGAACCATGAAACATCCCTATTGCTACACTATATATGATCGCCATGCTGCACAATGCGTCATGCCAATTGCTGAACTATGCGGCATCCCCAAATGCTACATTATACGACATCCCCCATTGCTACATTATGCGACATCCCCACTGTTTCACTATGCATTTCACCATTGCTGCACCATCCATCATCCCAATTGCTGTACCATTCCCCTTGCAGTACCATGCTGCTTCCCCAATCTCGCCATAACATAAACACTGAGAATAGATTGTTTGTAGACACACAGCTGGTTCGGCAACATGGTAACACCAGCAACATGGAAAGAATGCTGGATCTCTGAAGGTTTTGCAAGATATGGTGAAAGAAGAATTATGATGGTACTGAATGGTGAGGCGGAATCCTGTCTTGAAAGTGTATCAGGTCTATCGAATTTACAACGACATTATAACGCCAATGGCGAGGTATAGTTTGTCAATACTAGATAATACAAATCTCTCGAAATATGATTGGTCCATGCAAGCAGAATAATCCTTAGTCATAATCTCAGAATATATTTCTAGCAATTCTAATATTTCTGGCAGTTCAAAGACATAAATTACATGTCTTTTTGTTATTATCTCCACTGTCCACCATCTGCACAAAGGGAATTTCTTTTTATATAGGTGATTGTCCGTAGTCCACCCGTCTTCTAATTGTCCGTAGTCCATCCATCTTCTGTCAAGAATTCCATTTTTGACTTCTTCTTAAGACCTACCAGTCTAATTGCTTTGAAACCTGGTATGGACTATCAAATCTACTCATTTCGTGAGGATAGCTTTAATTCTCTCTATTTTTAGCGAATATTGTTGTCATATTGACATCGTGAAAACTACCAACTCCAATATTTGTTATACATATATTTTGAGTGCACCTGTGTGAGATTTATTTATTTTGTTGTTGTTATTTTCATTTACCTATTTTTTGCGATATGTATTTAAACTTCTTGAAAACAACCTGCGTAATTACTTTGATAATTTGATATGGTTTGTAACAAGATATACACTACCATTGTTATGATATGATAAGTACGTTGTGGTAACAACAACCCTAACAAATAGCTAATATCTCATCGTACAGAACATTATCCACTTTTTGAGAAAGACGCTCTACAAAGACGACTGAGCTATTTCGAATCATAATTGCTGCATTTGCCTGATAGTTTAGAGGCACTCCTGAGATATCTTCTGTGTACCTAACATGACTGATAGCTTAGAAGCACTCCTGAGATATCTTCTGTGCACGTAACATGACTGATAGTTTAGATGCACTCCTGAGATATCTTTTGTGTAACTAACATGACTGATAGTTTAGATGCACTCCTGAGATATCTTCTGTGCACCTAACATGACTGATAGTTTAGATGCACTCCTGAGATATCTTCTATGCACGTAACATGACTGATAGTTTAGATGCACTCCTGAGATATCTTCTGTGCACCTAACATGACTGATAGTTTAGATGCACTCCTGAGATATCTTCTGTGCACGTAACATGACTGATAGTTTAGATGCACTCCTGAGATATCTTGTGTGCACCTAACATGACTGATAGTTTAGAGGCACTCCTGAGATATCTTTTGTGCACCTAACATGACTGATAGTTTAGAGGCACTCCTGAGATATCTTTTGTGCGCCTATCAAGACTAATAGTTTAAATGCACTCCTGAGATATCTTCTGTGCACCAAACATGACTTATA